AAAGCTCATAATTTAACGCTGTGCAGGTAATTCAGGAAGGGATATAATAGGATGAAAGGAGTAACTTCACGGAAAGAGCTTTACAATCTCATTCTGTATCTGCTGCTGGCTTGCTGTAACTGGCTACGTTCCCTAGATATGCCTCCACCTCACTGCTATTAAAAGTGGAGGTAATTCATCTGTTGTAAACTCAAGTGAGATAGAAAGCCCAACATGTGTTTCCAAAGCCAGATCTGACATAAAGAAAGTAGTTATTTATAAAGTAATTAGAAAAAAATAGTTGAGTAGGAATCTGCTAAACTATTTCAATTTTGCATTCATTACTTCATAAAGCTCTAAAAAGGCTGCTTTTCTTTTACAGCTTTCCCTTTTCATTTACACTTTGTTGTTCTCAAATCCTGTGTCCTGGACAGAGTGGGCAGGGTACTATGCAAGGATAACTGCTGTTACTTCTCTGGTATCACAATGAACACCCTGCTGGAAGCCCTCTTCTCACACGGCTGCCTTGCCTCCCAGCAGCACAGCAGGTTAATAAAGATGAAAAAGAAAAGAAATTCAAATGCCTCTTTGTAAGAAACATTCCAAATACTCTCTCTTGTGCTTCAAAGAAAAGGAAACCCTTTGGTTTTAAGTCTAGCTCCATCATTTCAAACTATATTATTTATTAGTAATGCTACTAAGAAGTGCAACCCATACTAGTTAAAACCTGTCCGGCAATGGTAATTTATATTATTACTGTGGTGCTGGGTGATAGTCTCTGGTATGGGATGTGACACTCAGGAGGAGACGAGCCCTTCTAAAAGCAGTAAGGGTGATGGAGTCTTCCCATCTCTCTGGGAGGCTGCTGCTGAAGATGGTGACAGAATGTGGATTTCCTTGCTGTTTGCTGGGCGTACTGCTTCAGCCAGATGGGCACCAGTCACTTAATAGACAATTTTTGACTAATGATGCTTTTTTACATGCTGCAGACATGGAGCCCCGTCAAGTGGATGCAGCCATGCTACTGTGAGCTAACAATCTTAGTGCTGCCCTGTCCTTGAGCTTTTGTCTGTCAGATTGTACAGAAGCTCCATGAATGCTATTCTTACCTTCAGGGCCATGGTAGGATAACTGCCACTGTAATTTGCAAGGCCTTGTCTGGGGGTGTATGTAATGTGCATGTATGAGGGTTGCTCTGAAAGTAATGCCTCCTTTTTATTATGTTGGCCCACGATGTCAGGGGTAGATGGTGGTATGGTAGCAGAGGTTAAACCTTCTGTTACATTTTTTTGTTGCTGTGTGGCAGCAGAGGGGCAGTCTGACAAAATGGTGTCTGACATGGAAATGGATATTGGAGCAAAGAGATGAGATTGAATTCCTCCCTGTGGAAAAAAAAAAAAATGTGAGGTGGTGCATGGGGTGACAGCGGGTCGCCTCTGCTGGTGCAGGCTGTTCTGGTCACTGCTGGTGAAAATGCATAGCTGGTGGTGTGAACGTTGAAAACAGCTGTTTTGTAGCTGAGAATTCGCTGTGTTGCACAGCGTTGCTGTGCTCCTTACAGCTGATGTCGTTTTTAGGGTAATAAATAGGAGGTTTTTCAGAGCAACCTGTGTGCATTAGCTCACTAACGTTTCCATTCCACCATACCTTTCCAATTCACGATTAGCCCCAAGGCAAGGATCGCCTTCCCTGAGCTTTTTCTGGCTGCTACGCTCTGTTAAATGTTTCACCCGGGCTTCTCATGCACCAGAATCGCTCTAATTAAAGAGTACCAGCTCTGGAAAGGTGCTTGTGCAACGCGGGGCTGAATCAGCCGCTTTTCCTTAGGGTCACTGTGAGCACCAGCTAATTACAAAGAGCAGACCCGCGCACCCCGCCGCACCAGGCCGGCCGAGGGGAGGAGATGGCCGCCCCGCTGCGGGCCGGCCGCTTTCCCTCAGCCCGGCACAGGCTGAAGCGGAGGCCTGTCTCTCAGCGCCCTCTGGCGGCCGCGCTGCGGCACGGCACGTCTCGACGGAAGGCCTCGCTCCCTCAGCGCGGGCGGCCGGCGGCAGAGGCGCGCTCGCTCCTCTACTCGAGAGCGTACGGCCGCTGCGTCAGCGCGGGGAGTTGCGCCGCTACTCGGCACAGCTCGGCCGGGCGGGGCGGCGCGGCGCCGGGCGGTCCTCGCGCCGTCAGCTGAGGGGCGCCGCGCCAACATGGCGGCGGAGATTCACTCGCGGCCGCAGAGCAGCCGGCCCGTGCTCCTCAGCAAGGTGGAGGGGCACCAGGACGTGGTGAGCGCCGCGCTCCTCATCCCCAAGGAGGACGGCGTTATTACGGCCAGCGAGGACAGGTAGGACGCGGTCCGGCGCGCTCAGGCCCCGCGCGGGGCAGCGGGAGGCCGGGGCCGCTCCGGCGGGCGGGCGGCGGCCGAGGCGGGGGACGGGGACGGGGACGGGGACGGGGAGGCCGCTGGCCGGGCAGCGCCCCGCACCGTGCCGGAGGCGCCCGGCCGTGAGTCCTCGTCAAATCACTGCAACTGCGCTCTGCCGGCGGCACGGCGCCCTGCCGGGGGACCTGCTGGGGCTGGAGGTTGTGAGGGCGTTAAGGAGAGCGGGAGGCTCCTTGTGAGTGAAACGTTTCGTCAGGTACCTGTGTTAAGGTTAACTAGGCTGTATCGTTAGGTTCGGAAGAACGACAGGAACGGCTGAGCAGCAGCACAGCCTGATTTCGTTACCTTACTGTTAGCCAGGGCATCCAGGCAGGAGCGGGACAGGGTGAGTGCTGACTTGGCCTGGTTTAAATGAAATTCATCATTCCTCTGGTATTAAAGCAACAAACTGTGTACAGGACTCGTTACAACACACCTGCATGGATAATCGAAGCCCTGCCGTGCTCCTGATGTTCTCGGTCACCTGACAACGTGTATCTGCTATTAAAGAATGGGAAGCCACCGCAGTGTTTATTGAAACTGATTATCAGCATTTCTGAGAAATCTGAGTGCTGGTCTGTCTCCACATCTCTGAAGGTGGTGAGAATGTATTGTTCAGTGGCATGCTTGGAATTACTTGCTCACAAGTGCCAGCTGAGCTTTCTGGAAAGCAGGTACTTAGAAGTAGTTAAATTTGGCAAAAGGCAGACATAACAAGTAGCTTCTGCTTTTGGTTTCTATTTATTGTTTATGGAAAATAAAACCAAATCACAGTTCTCAAAGGGACTAGTTTAATTTATTTCCCTCTGTCTTTTTAATTTTCTTTACCCCATGAAGATCAGCACGTTTCATTCTTAAATGAGCTATCAATCACTGGGAGTGGAGTAAAAGCTCATTGTTGCATGCTAAAAGCTCGTGAGTTTGGGATAACTCAAGCTAAAGGTGTCCTTACATCATCTAAAGGCTATTTGATGTACTTGAAGTTAGGCTTCTGTTCCCAAAGAATATTATTTTGCAGATTGGGTGCCTGTTGTGATAGGCCTTCATAGATGTGCTCTGAAGCGGTAACTTCTGGTCCTGAGGGAATACCAGCATTAGGGTTATACCATCATCTTCTTAGTCTTCTTTCCCAAGCTTCTAGGGTGCTGGAAGCACTCAGCACAGCATTAGCAGGGTCTGAGGATTAAAGGCATGTGTGCTTCTCGAATTGTTCAATTGAATATTGAAATGTTATATGTTTTCATCATCTTAAACTGCAGAGTGTCATACTGCGCAAAGATGTAAGGGAAACATTGAGATTTGTGATCCTTCAGGAATGCAGGGAGCAGCACCTGCCTTCTCAGAGTTTGATACTGCAGCTTAGTAGGGCTTCATAGGGTTCCAAATGCAATTTCCAGCCTGTAAAGAGGTAAACAGCTTTCTGCACTCGATAATCTCTATGTAAATTCATCAGGATTTAAATTCTGACTGTCTAAAGCAACAGTACACATTGCTATGGTTCAACAAAAGGCAGTCATTGCACCTTATTTGCAGCAAGCAGAGATGTTTGCATGCACTGAGTGGTTCTGGCTTTGGCTGAAAGATGGACTTGGTGTCTGCCCTTCTCACAGAAAAAAACTGTAATCTGCCTTAGACAGTAGGTTTGGGATGAGACCGAGCGATTTCTTCTTTATTCAACCTGTATGTACATGGGGTAGTTGGCTTTTGAGTGGCAGTATAGGTTGAATCTTAACATGCTTGCATTGAGTTTGCTTTGATGTGCTTCACGAGGAAGAGATAAGGAAGTAGCAATTCTGAAGAGTTCACTTCTGCATTAACCCTGAAAAGAAATTGTGTGGTACAGGCTGGCAGAGGCCTGTAGCAGACAGTGCTCCTGTTTAACCTTCGAGGTATAATGCTGAAGGTTAGCAGCCCGCACGCTTAGATTACACTGATAAGGGCTGAGAATGCAGCTGCATCTTTATCTGGGCACGTTTTGATGTCAGTTAAGAGCTGTGTGAAGAGAGGCTGCTGTCTGCTTTGGCGTGCGTTAATTTCTGAGAGAAGTTTTGCACTTCTGAAGTTAAATTCTTGCAGTGAGGGAGCTTGCCAAGATCTTTAAGCTTTCAGACGCTGTTGTGCTGTATTGCCTTAATCAGAGGTACCTCCCACAGTACATCAAAGCCTACTCACTCACCTATCTTTCACCTGCAGTTTAGTGTATTACCAAATTTTTTACTCTTCTGTTTGTTCCATAAAAATGGGGCGTAGGTGTTAATGCTGCAGAACAGGCACTGTGAGCAAATACAGAGTTCAGGAAGCAAAGAGTTGCTATGTACAACCCCTTTGAGCTGTATACCAAAACGGTAGGGCCCAAGTATTTTTGATTAAACCTTAATAAGCTAAGGCTGGCAAGCATTTCAGAATACCAGTCGCAGGAATGTGCTTACAAGTTAGATAGTGAGGAAAACATCCTCTGTGCACGTTGTGGATTACCTTCATTAGAAGTGTTGGCGTTCTTTCTATTTCAGGTGTTATTTTCTACATTAAGAAATAATGGTTCTATTTTTATTCGATGATACAAAAAATACTGTAGCAGGTCTGTGAATACCAATAAAAATCCAGTCTGCTCTGAAGCCCAAAAAGAGGCAGGTATACCTGCAGGATTATCTTTGTTTTCAGTCGGGGAACTTACCATCTGTGAAGCTTTCTCAGAAGGTTCCTGTTAAGGACAATTACCTCAAGGCTCCTGCAGATATCTTGCCTGCCCCCAGCTCCCAGGCTGCCCCTGGAGCTGCTGGCAGCACGTTTCTCAGCCTGCTGTGGGTGAGGTCGTTGCTCACAGCTGGCTTGTGTGGCTTCTCAGGTCTGAGAAGGAGCGTGGGCTGCGTGGCTGTGGTGGTCAGATCTCTGCACTTGACCTTCATGTCCTTGTTCTCAGCAAACAAATGGCAGGATGTGTGTTTCCCAGCTGTAGCTGGGGATGCTGAGGGATAATAAGGTAATGTAGGGGCTCCTCGGTGAAGGTGAAGCTTCTGTATTGATAGCAATCTAACAGGCTCTGTAGAAATTCTAGCATACCTCAGTACTGGTGCTCTGTGACAGTCAGCAGCTGCCGTTGGATTGGAATTGCTGCTTAAATTGCTGCTTTTCTAGTGGGATTTGAATGTTGGTCAAAACTAATGCTTTAATGAGCAGAAATTGACAAAAAGCATCAGCTGCCTGCTTTGTCCTTGAACTGGCATTGCACTGTGGTTATACTAGATTCCTTATGCTGTTTTGGGAACACAGTCAATAGCAGTCTACATACTTTTATTTTATTTTGTCTGCCAGAAAAATGCAATCTTCTGTTCCTGCCAGAAAACCAACTGTTAGTGATTGATCTCAGGTAGAAAAGCAGTTGTTAGTGATATGGACGTCTTTGAAAGATGGGACTAGTGTAGTGGCATGGTACTTGTACAACCACTGTACAGCTGTTTGTACTGGGGCAAGTTGGGATTTGCCTGCTGATCTTTCACCACTTCTTTTTCCCTGACGTGCATTTGGCTTTAGAGGGCTGCATAAGTTGAATGTGCCACAAATGCTGTAGTAAAGCTGAAGGATTTTCTTCTCCCTGATCAACCCCCAGACGTTTTCTCCATCATTGTCAGGTGCTTATTTGTTCTGTTAATGAAACATTGGGAAGTAGAAAATCACTAGAAGTTGGTAAGGCCACATTTTGGCATTGCTTCAAGATGCTTTTGTGTTTTGCATTACTACGAAGCAAGCAAACAAAACCCCTTTGAATTGCTCTTTTATGAATAATATTCAATGTTAGGGGAGTTTACGGGCCTTAAAAAAAGAAAAATTCTTCCCATCACTCGCAAATATCCAAGTTTGTTGTAATTTAAAAGGTGTGTGTTTGTCTCTGACTGATCCTTAATGCATTTTGACGTTTTTACATCCATATTGAAACTACCTTCAAACAAACCTGTGTCTTTCTAGCCCTTAATAAGGAGCGCATGTAGAAAAGTGAGTAGCAGCCAGCTCTTTTCTGGTACTGAGTACAGGGCCCGTTCATAAAATAAAAACCAAGTTCTGGGCAGAGTGCTTAAGACTTGAATGACACCATGGTTCTCGTGTTAAAACAGTTTCATGGTAGAAGGAGGCTGTGAAAGTGGTATTACTGGGGAACTTGCTTAGTTCTTTAAGCTAGAACTGCTATTTCACAAATGAATTCTCCCAAGGAAAAGGAGACAGGCCCTAGCTATGGACCTGTAGGAGACAGAACTGAGAAGTGGGATCTTGACATGGGCTGTTAGTGAGCTGCTGTGAGGCAATCTCTTCAGATTTTGCTGAGAGCTTTATGTAATTAGATAGAAAGCTATCTAACTGCTTATCTTTGCAGGCATGAATTTAGTGAAATCTAAAATCTTACTTAAACTGAAGTAAGAAGCTTTCAGAAGTTAATTTTGCTGGCTTTGGCAACTGTTTGCTTAGACTCTTTAGGAAGCAACTGTATCATTAATTATAACTGTGGAAATCATGCTTCTCAGAAATGTGTTTAGAAAAAGCATATCCTTGCTTCCTTTGTGTGAATTCCAGGTCCAGTGCAATTGACCACAACACTGGGAGGAAACAAAGCTTACTGTGGAAAAATCAACAATGCATTATGTCAGTTGCTATAGTAACTCTTAGTCTGTTTAGTCTGTTTACAGCAAAAATAATTACTTGATTTTTGCTAGAAGTGGCAGGGTTGAATTAGAATGAGTGTTAAGTTACCATCTGAGATGTTCAGAACAGTTCAGTTTGAGTATGGTAAAGCTGTTTAACTGCTTGAGAAAGCTGACCTCTGCTATAGCTGGCATTGGCAGGATGGATTGGTAAGGATGAGGTGGATGCACATTGCTGGGAAGTAGTGGCTGAAGTGTTAGCTTGTTGACTGTGAGGTAAATCCATAGCATGAGAGTGTGAATTAGAATAAGGAGGAAATGATAGTTTTTAAGAGACAATGTTAATGCAAAGTATTAAATGAACTGGAATAATATACATTTGTCACTGAAGATGGTGGAAAAATGTATTTTCAAAAGCTGAAAATCTTAATTGTTTTGGGGCAATGTGTACTCAGCTGCAAAGATTTAATCTTTTAGAAGAGGGAAGTAGTACATTAAGGATGTAGGCATTGTCTGCTTTATTTTATGAGTAGTTTTTTAAAGGACAGCTCTTACAGGAATTACAAAATTAGAGTGCTACTTTTGCATCTTCAACCTGTTCTGAAAAGGTCTAGTCCTGATGCAAGATACTTGTTGTCTTCTACACTCTTGTTAAACTCTTACTAATGATCCAGTGTGGTTTAGCAAATCCATCCCTGATTTGAAGTCTCTTGAAATGGTTTTCAGGTACCTCTGTTTACACATATCTTAGGCTTCCATTTAGGAGTGGAAAAGTTGAATTTAAATAGTTACAAAGAAGACACAGTAGTTTGGAGAGGAAGTCTCGAAGTCTCAAGTAGACCTATAATAACTTTAACACTGTCTACTTGCGTGCTCTTACTTTCTTAACGTAAATTCCCTTCAGGTGTGTCTGTTGTAGCATTGTGTTTAATTGATGATAACTTTCTACTTCATTGCTGATTCTCTTGTATCCCTGGAGCTGATATTTAAGTAACAAAGTAGTTCAGATGCAAGAGATGATGCACATACAACTGTCTTCTCCTCGCCCTTTCCACAACACAGAACAATACGAGTATGGCTGAAGAGAGACAGTGGACAATACTGGCCCAGCATCTATCACACCATGTCATGTAAGTACAATGTTGGAGATGGTAAGTGATGGCCAAGTGTAGCATACTTCTTTCCTCAAGCACTGGATTCACTTGGTGACCTTTAATCTGGGAGCTTTGCAACAGCTCACTTTCAGACTTTAATTTGAAACTAGCTGTGTTCTGTTGTGAACCAGATCCTTCACCAGGTAAATTGCTGTGTGGATCTGCTGCTGAAGATGTCTCAAATGCTGGCAAATAGCTCACCAGCTGAATAGGTAAACTTTTCAAACTATTAATTGAAAGAATATTCTCTGCTCCCCAAGGTATATGTTTTTTATTACTTTTAAACATTTAGATAATTAAGAAAGTAGTATTGAGTAGCTGCTTCAGATCTTGAGTGTCAGTACTAGCATCTCACCTAGCATGAATGTTTCACTACAGGCTCTTTAACGTAGAATTCCTGCCTGCGTACCTATCGTATATATAAAAAGACAGAATACAGTGATGAAGTAAATCATCAGTAAAATCAAAGATAGTCTTTGGAATGACAATTTCTGAACTAATTTGTATTCAAATATTAAATGAAGACCAAAGAATTGGTCTCCTTGATGTTCCGTGTCTTTTCAGCTGTAGACTGAGTAGCTTAGGATCTGGATTCTAAATGCCAACTGTAATCTTTTTGTTTTCCCGTTGGTCTGAACTACAGCAACTGTTCCATTTGTCAGTTCTCAAAATAGACTCTTCAGATTGAGCTCTAGAAAGGTTTTTACAGAATAAAGCATGTCTGTAGTAATGAATTTGTCCCGGATCACTGCAGTGTTCCAGAATGTCCTGTAGCTTTAAAACTCTAAATAAACTTCAGACAGTGTTTTCTGAGGATGTGAGAAGAAACGGTATTGGTTTAGAACCCTGTATTCCTCTTATAATTTTCAAGTTAAGCAACTTCAAGGGGCTTCTTTTTTTTTTTGACAGCTCCGTGTTCAGCCATGGCTTATCATCATGACAGCAGGCGAATATTTGTAGGCCAAGATAATGGAGCCATCATGGTAAGTTGCTTGACTTCTTTTCACTATGTGGATCAGAATTGCTTAACCACTCATCAGAATTGTCCGGGAGCATCAAGTGTTGCTGGCAGCTGATAATATGTTTTCTTTCCCTTCTTTTTGGAATGCAGTTACTAATAAATGGCTAAACTCCTTGACAGTTCACCTGAGTAGCATATTGGAGGATTGCAAAGAAGGATTTACCTGTCTAGATGTGAGCTAGCTAGCCTCAAGAAATCATTGAGGTATTAGTGTAGCGATGAGCCTGGATTATTATGCTTTGTGGGGAATTATTTCAAGGAATGTATTAAGTTGGGTCAAGTGCCCTGGGGGTACACTAACAGGGATTGTATGCAGCTAGCTTGCATCTGTTCAGAAGTATTGATCTCCCAGTATCTAGTCGCATGTGTCTCTGAACTGACTTACTGCAGGCATTTTCATCATGTTGAAATTTCAACTCTAGTCCTGCAGTAGGAGAGGCAGGGTTAGGTTCAGTGCATTATCTCTTTCATGCACAGAGAAAAGTATGTCTTTCTCTTAGAGAAGTAGTCTTTCTGGTTTGCTGTACACCAGTTGTAATTTCTTTTCTGCTCCTGGAGAGTGGGTACATACAGCAGAATAGAAAGCAAGTTTTTATTCTTCTCATCTTTCTTGGCAAAGGAGGGGAAGTCCCATGACTTTCAGATGTTTTAGTGGTTCCTCTTTGAAGATAAGGTCAAAAGAATAAGCGTTCTATAGGGAGACAGGGAATTAAATGAATATCAGAAATACAAATAGTTAACTATCACTAAGCTAAAACTTTAAAAAATTTGTATATTCTAATGGATCAAATAGAGAATACTCTCACTTAAATTTGTCTCTTTGTTATGAAGTCTCAGATCTTTAAGTCAAAAATACAGCAAGATGGAGTTCTGTTTGTTTCTGCTAGGGGCTAATGAGGTCTCATCTCATCCTATAGTACTTCCTCAGAAAATATTCTGTGGTAAAAATACATGTTAGTATAGTAACTGTAATTTGCAGCTGGCATATCAATGTGTTGTGCTTCGGCCTGAGGTAACTGCTGCAATGCAAATTCTGCTCTGTGAGATTATTGCTCTTTTTTTGTGTACCGCTCATTCCAATGTCATTGCAACATCTTTGCTAAGAGTTCCACTTTGATTTTAGGAGTTTCATATTTCAGAGGACTTCAATAAGATGAACTTTGTGAAGACCTATCCAGGTAAACTGTTAACCAGTGTCTACAATAATGTACGTATGAAGGAGGGGCTTCTAAAATGCTTGAGAAACTGGGCAGCGTCAGAGATTTATGAAGTTCAAATACTCTTCCAGTTGTCACTTAGTTGGGAGTAACTACCATAAGATAAACATTGTTATTGAGTAATCTTCAGTCAGCTGAGTCTGAATTGCAGTCATTACCAGAGCTCAATGCATCATTAGCTTGCACATGTAATGAACCAGATCTAACGAGTTCAGATTTTACTCTTGAAGTGATGTAGCTGTACTGCATCAATGTGCAGGGTAAGAGCTTTCTAAAGGTGTGCGTTGATATTTGCAAGTTCCATTCTGGAAATACTGGACTAAATTACTACTAGCTAAAGGTGAGAGTCTCTGCCTTCTCTGTCCTTTGGGAGATCAGTAGGGGTGAAAAAGACCTTTTCACGTGGGAAATAGGAATTATTTTAGGGTTTATGAAGACTAAATTTTCAGCATTTGTGCATCCTTGAAAGAAATATAAAACATGATTGCGGGTTAAAATTGGAATTATAATGTGGAGGGCCTGATGAAATTCTTTAAGAGCTACAGATTATGTAGTGGTACAAAGTACAGTGTGTCTTATGACTCCCTGACACCAATAGAAGCAATGTTCTTGCATACAAGAACAAGGCCTTGTTCTTAAAGCAACAAGACTCCCTTTATCCTAAAGTAGATGGCTTGTAAACTCATTCAATAGAATAGTTACATCTTAGAGGTCAGGAGAGAGTTCTTTCTAAAGCTCATCTAACTTCTTGCTTTGTGGTAGCATTCTAAACAAAACCAGTGGGATTTGGTTTGGGATTGGGTACCAGTTTGAATGCTATGGATTAGAGAGACTTTCAGGTGCTTAAAAGAATGAGTCTGAGTATAGATCCCCTGGGATCAGGTAAGAGGCACTTAAAACATTTAAGCTTTTTAGATGTACTACAGTATTCCCAATGAGTCCTTGCTTCCTAACTAGAGGAGGCTGGGGGTTTACCTGCTACTTAATCAGAGTATCTCAGGTATCTGGGTTGAACTCAACTCTTCCCTCTGTGGGAGAAAGGCTTAAGTCAGCTGACAAGCAAGTTTGATTCACTTAAGCTATTTATAAGGCATATACTGAACAGGACAATTCTAGCCTTTTAAATTAGCCTGTAGGCTATTATAACGTGATGCTATAACGTTGCTCAGATATCACCTTTGACCTCTGTCTGTCTGCAAAGAACGTGTCAATTTCTAGGAAAAACTAGCCAGAATCTTTTTCTTCCCACAGCTCATCAGAATCGAGTGTCTGCTATTACCTTCTGCCTGACATCAGAGTGGGTTATCAGCACTGGTCATGACAAGTGCATCAGCTGGATGTGTACCAGGAGTGGGAGTATGCTGGGGAGGCATTACTTCACCTCATGGGCTTCATGTCTACAGTATCCTTTGTAAATGATTGGTGCCCAGAAACTTGAAAACTACTGTTTGTTTAGCTCAATTTGTTCCTTCCTTTTTATCTAAAAAGCTGTTGTTGAAATCTCTTGCAAGTCTGCAAACCTTTACTTGATTTGATGTGATGTTAAATACTGCTGCTTCTGTGCTTCTGTTAGCTTTTGTTAGATTGTAGAGGGGATGTTGTGACCTTGAATTGTAGAAACGTTAATGTGTAGTAGTTCCTGATTTTGAGATGTTGGTTGCAGTGTTTTGTGGAAATGACTAGTAACTGTCTCTGCAGCTTGGCCTGTGTTCTTTCTGGTCATGTCACTCAGGACACCAATGCACGCTAGCGTCTGTTGAACAATCTGTAACCTACAAGTCAGATTGATACTTTATTCATTACTAATAGTAATTTGTCTGTGCAGTTTGCTTTTCTGCAAATTGCTTTTAACTGCAACGTTTGTAGCTTAAAAATTCTTACTGTCTTTTCAGCTGTGAGTACTTCAGGGTATTCTTTATGTAAAAGACACAGAAAACTAATAGTTCATATGTCAAAACTTCTGAACGTGGGTTTAAATTCCATGAATCCTAAAACTGTGCAGAGCCTGCTTTACTGACTGAAGAGCTGACAAAGCTGTGTTGTAGTTGTTTTGTTCGTTGTTGCTGTCTTTATTCCAGAAGTCAGGGTTTTATGTCCTGCAAACACACTGCTTGTCTTGGCCAAGTGTAACACAGAATTGGGTTAATACTGGTGTGTGTACTGTGTGACTAGCTCACAGAACACAGTCTGATGCTTCAGAGCCTCGCTGAATGCCATGGGTTTTCTGGTTAACACTACTGTAAATATTGGAACAGTTTATTATGAAGAGAAAAGCATATGACCTTTTCTATCAGGATCAAAGTAAATTTCCACTGAAGACTGTGGCATTTGAAAATACATTCAAATTGATCATGCCTTTAACTTTAGTTTGGAAGAACTGGCTTTCTGATGTGTATGCTAGTTGCTTGATTTAGATCTATTTTGATCTATCAGGAGAATCCCTGGTATTCATTTGTTAACAATCCTATATGTAAGCTTCTGAAAAACACAGCAGAGTGCCTCTTCTTTACTGGATTAACAGGGATTATGCTAGCATGAACTTCCAAGATGAGGAAAGAATCACACATTTGGGAACTTAATGGATTTGTTGAAAGTGACTCATTTGTCTCAAGATTTCAGTGGGCTTAAGTGATTTCAGAATGTTACTAGATTGCAAAACCTCTCCTTTTTTGCTTATGGTGGACTTCTTGGTACTCCGATTTCTTAAAATTAGTATTTTCTGTTATGGAGAATAGGCTACATTGCTAGCAGCTGCTTGTGGGTTTTTTTGTGTGTGGCTCCAAAAGCACAGGTGAGTTAATACACCACTCTTGGGTTATGTGGAATCAGATGTATGGGGTTTTTCTTAGTTTTTCTTTCCTGAATAGTGTACTTCTTCTAGATGTGGAAAACAGTTTGGTTCCATCCAGCTTCCTATCCTGTAGTTTTTGGAGACATTAGTTGCATAATAAGAAGAATGGAATATCTGAAAACTGTTGTGCTGCAAAGCATGTGACCCTCTTAACAGGTTCTATTAGGATGTATTATGGCTTTTGTGACAGTGTTTCATGGCAGAACCCCTTCTGAAATACTTTTCAGCCTTCAGTAGTGTGTTCAAGGACCTGCATCAGAAAGCTTGAAAGTGGAGAGCAGAGAACAAAATTAGACGATCTCTTATTTTCAGTAGCTAGAACAATGGGAATATGCTTCTACTTGTAAGGTAAACTAGCTGTGGATGGTCAACATCCTTGAATTTAGTTTTTCTGTTCTGGGGGTGCTAGCAGTGTAACATACTGGGAAACTGAGATTTTATAGGGGCAATTAGTAGGTCTAAATCTGAATAGCGCCCAGTGATCATTGGAATAATTCTGCTGGTAGCTCTGTAATACAACAAGTAGCCTAAAGCATCTCTTGTGGAAGATCACAAGTATCACATGTTCTGTAAACATGTGCTAGAACTGGTTTAAATCTACTTAGATTATCTTAAATGATGGGATGGATTACCTCATGGCTTCTCTAATAATGACTTATGTCATTTCCAGTACTGGTTACTTGCTTATGTATGGAAGGGTGAGAAGAGAGAAACGAAAAGTATTAAGCTAATGCAGCTTCCAGCCCTCTTAGATGTAGTTATGTAAATATTTATCCAGTGTACTAAAATGTTCTTTTCCAATTTGTTTTGACTTTGTAACTGATGTGTATGTTCTATGTTTCAATCTCTTAAAATACTTTTAAAAACAAATGAGGTTACTCCTTGATTGATGTTCAGATATGATTATGAAACTCGGTATGCATTTGTTGGTGATTATTCTGGACAGATCACTCTCCTGAAGCTTGAGCAGAACACATGCTCGATTATCACAACACTCAAAGGGCATGAAGGTAAAGTAACTCTTTCTCTTGATTCCAAGTGACTCAGGTTATAATGCCTTATTGTAAATCAGGATGAGACATTTGGTTGGATATGCAGCTCCTAAGGATACATATTGCATGAACAACAGGAAATTTTCAAGGCTGCACAAGTTAACTACTTCTTAAAGAACAGATGCATCCTTGCTGTAGGGAAGTCTTAGTCCTGTATACATTTAGACGTACTTTCATTGTAGATGAGAAAATAAAGGTAAACATGCATTCAGTTAAATGCAACTTATCCACTAGATGGCCACCTTTAAAAACTTTAGTCTCCTTAATGCTGAAGAGAAAGAACTAGAATGTGTTGCTTTTTATTTTTTTTTTTTCCCCTTTTTTTCCCCCTGCAGATCTAGTGTTAATATAATATTTAAAAGTAGCTTGAGCAAGCCCAAATCTAGGTACTGAAAAGCTGTTTAATTCTTTCCAGTGAGGTCCCTCCTGCTCTGGTCATTCAATTATGAGATTTGAGTTTGTGATTTCCTGTGTTCAGCAGAAGCTAAGTTATATGCAAGAGGTTTTGAGAGCCTTCTAGAATTTGTCTAGTCAAAGACAAATGTCTCATCTTATGTAGTATAGCTGAAGCCCTTATCAGATGAAGAACATGAAGAACCAAATAGTCTGTAACATGATATGGAGCCATCATCTGCAGTAATGAGTAAGGCAAGAATGCAAACTTACAGAAGGAACATATAGTTTACTGACTTGCTGAGGGAAATAAGGCAGTAACTACTGTGATACTGACAACTTTCAGTATCAGCTGACTAACTTGCATTTGTGAAGGGGTGAATTTACATGGTCATGAGTATCTGGCCCATTTGAAAAGGCCATCTTTTCTAATAGCTGTAAGTATAGAGTAGATTTTGCTAAAGCTTTGTAGACTCCTGCTTTGCAGGTGACTGTGAAATGACAAAGTTGGCTTTGAGTAGGAAAGGCAAATTGGAATTTTTCAAATGATAAATGCGTCTTCTGCTGTCAGTTTCACTTGCTTCAGTTAAGTGCAAAATAATCCTCCTGGCCCTGCTTTACCTCCTCCGAATGTTTTGTAGCAGTCTGTATTCAAATGCACCTCCTTGATAGATGGTATTGTTAGTTTGGAAGCAGCATGTCTGGATGCCACAATGCTAATTCTGTCTGTTGAGCTGCAGTGAGCTTTTAAGCACTGTTTGCATGGCAGACAATTTTGACTTATATATAAATTACTTAAGAGTACTGTGGTCCTCAAAACTAAGAACTGATCTAGTATAAAAGCTGGTTAAACTAGAGAGACTGAAACAGGTTTTTCTTATGTTAACGTAATTTGAGCTCTTCCACTCTTTTCCTCCTTCTTATAGCAAAACAGGTTGTGTAGCCTACTTCCCAGGTGTCTGTGTATTATCCCCTGGGCCAGGTAACTCTAAACCTGAGTGGCAGCTGGTTCTCTGAACTGTGCGTGCTAGACTTCAGAGGTCTTACTTAGACTTGTTTCTTTTCCAGTGCTTGCTTTAACTGTGACTTTGTAAGCAAGCACTGTTTACTTTGCAATTTAAATGGCTTTAGAGTTTATCCCAAAAGACAACTTCCAGAATTGTCTGTACTCGATAGGCCACTCTGTGTAATGCTGAAAATAACATTTAAATTGCCTTGTATGGAACAGGTGGTCACTGTTCTCTGAGATAACTACTCCCAGATGGGTCAGTCTGAAAATGATAATGGTCCTAAGAGCGACAAGACAGTTCTCTTGCTGCAGAGAGCTGAAAGGAAATGTTTTGGGCTATAATTACTTTTCATCTTACTATCAGACTAACAAGACTTGATAACAACTAAGCAATGGAAGAGTGCTTTAGTTAAAGAGAAGGATGTGTGTAAGTGGGGAAAAAAAAGTTCCCACAACCGCAAAAGTGTAGGTGGCGTTAGTGACAAAATTACTACTTCTGTCTCCTACCATATTACTGTGCATATCGGATTTAGTTTGACTTGTGTGGCTGGATGACTGAATTGTTCATCTGAATAAGGAGAGGTACAGTCAGGTTGGGCCTTCTGAAAGTGGTTTTGTAGTTCAGTACAGTGTCCGAATTTGCTGACAGACTCCCACTGAAGCGGTCACTTAGTTTCTTATTCCAACTATTTTCAAAAGTAGTTATGTAAAGGGCTTGGTTTACCTATAAATATTGTGCACTGAGTCTGTAACTACTCAGTGAGCACCTTACTCTATTCTGGGTACTATTTTCTGCTAGGAAAGCTTTAACACTTCTCACCTTTCGGAGATCACATAACAACCTGCCAGCTCTTAAAACCATGCAGACAAATACAAGGGACAGAAAACTGATAACTCTCAAACTTTCTGAAATATGCTTTGCTTCTAACGTTTTTCTTCAGAATGGTTTTGTTCTGTCATCAGTCTTTGCCGCTCTAGCAAGACTACATCTTGCATGCTGACCTTTGCCTTAAGGCTTTCAATATTTGCTACTGTACTAAGGGAGAATGTCAGGTTTCACTTTAATAGCACTTATTCCCTTAGACCTAACTTCAGAATGTTCTTTCATAGGAAGTATTACTTCCCTGTGGTGGGATCCTGTTCAACGACTGCTCTTCTCGGGTGCCTCTGATCACAGCATTATCATGTGGGATATTGGTGGAAGGAAAGGAAGAACGTTGCTGCTCCAGGGCCATCAGTATGTAATGGTGTTTTGTCTCTTCTGAATGTTCTGTAACAAACAGTGGTAGGAAGACTAAATAGCATGGCAAAATATTTAAATCTTTGTGAATAACAAAGAGAACTTTTTGCATAACTGAAGATATCCAAGGGAAAGAAGGATAACCAGTACTAGGAAAGCGCTTACTGATAACATTTTTTTTGTCAGGCTTGGTGCTTCTAAACCATGGATAATAAGAATGTGATAGAAAAGTAGTCTTCAATCGCATTGCTTGAACTTTTACATAAAGTTGTATGCTTCTGTATTGTAAACACTTAACTGAGTTACTTGTGAGGATCTGTAAGGTGATAAACTAAATTACTGGAGTGGATCTCTAGATTTCATAAAAGCATGTTTCCACTGTTCTGTGGCTTATGTAATTGCCTGTATTTAATCAGTATTTTTAGAGGGACAACACTATCTAGCTGCTTGTCTTAAATCTAAGGCCTTAATTCAGTCTGACAGGCAGTTCGCCATTGAAGATATGTTCTACTTAGAAATGCAGTGGTTATAGAGACCTTTATGTTTCAAGATGGTTTATGTTTCAAGATGTATTCGGATAGTGCATGTTCTCCTCTTGTGTATTTTGTAGATACCTCTGTCCACCTTTGATCAAGACTCTAGGCCTTAGTCCTAGAACTGTTGTTAAATCTTGAGGATTTAGTTTTATGACTAAAGAACTGATAATAGAGTATTGGTTACAAAAGTGTAACTGGCGTCAGTGACTGGAGGACTTTATACTGCTGTTACTGCTGCGTCATGTATCCTGGTGAAGACTAATAACATTATTAGTTTCTCATTTAGCATCTCACTTAGCATCAAACTTCATACTGAATGGGAAAGTAATTGCACTCTGCTCACTGTCAGTGCTTTCTGCCAGCAAATGTTAATTATGGAGCTGTACCTCTGGTATTCTGGTCAAGCCTGTAACAACACTGTTCTGGTGAACATCCTGATGCTAGAGTAGTGCTTATGTGGCAGCATCAATTCAGTCGTCAGCATAGCTCTATGTAGACTTAGCAAAAAGTGTTTGGAAATCAGTTTTGGCTTTCTAGGTAAGTTTACAATGATAAATCAGGCTTTTCTGGGAAACTAAGCTTGATTTAAATGCCTATGGATGTGCTCTGTTTCAGTGACAAGGTGCAGGCCATCTGTTACATTCAGCTGACACGGCAGCTAGTATCTTGCTCAGCTGATGGAGGAATTGCGGTTTGGAACATGGATATCAGCCGAGAAGAGGTAAGATATGCTCTAGGTAAAAGACATATTTTGGTTTTTCCTCTTTGGAGGCTGACATGGCTTTTCTTAATCTGTTACCCTGTCTGTTTTCCTTGTGCTGCCTGAAACTTTCAGACTGAACAATGTTTTTAAAACCTGCTCAGTTTTAGTGGCTGTCATACTACATTGTAATGGGTAGATGTGCAGGACAGGCTTGGGACTGCTCAGTTTCCCATATCAATGAGACATGTTGAGCCTGGAATGGCTACAGCCCTTACTGCTGTAACACTCTAAAGTAGGCAGGCCCTTTGCAGTATAGAAACAAATGGACTGTACTTCAGAAGTCTTGAACTAAGTTCTCAGCTGATGTCAAAGCATATAAAGAAATGATGTTGATTTTGAGATGCAAGTCAAAATGTAGAGATTCAGTCCAGAGTGTGTGTGTTTGTTTATTAAAGACCTCAGAGCACGCCAACTGAACCTGCCATCCACATTCTCTCTACTTCAATTCATGTTCATCATAGGAACTGAAAAGATACATGTTACTGCTACCTTTCATTACCATATGAGTCAGTGTTGGTTGTTCCCATAAGGTGTATTTAAGGTTCAGCCTTCCCTATCCTGTTGCTTTTTTGATCTACACTGGCACACTGAATGCTGTATGTGATGGTGCTGAAATTTTTAGCATAAAAATGTCTCTTCAGAACTTCTAGAGTATTAGTGACTTCATGCATGTTTATGATTACAAGCAATTGACTTATTATACAATTAGGAAAACGAGATGCGGCCATTTCTCTTCTGGATTAAGACAGCTCCTAACAATAGACAATTTTAACACAATTAAAAGAATGCAGTTACCTTAGAACAGCTGTGATGTTTCAGAACTCGTTGGAAAAACATAACCAAGCCTAATCCAAAAGCAAAGAAATGAAATGTTTGTAGGATGCTGAATGTGCTGCCTTTAAAGGATTAGCTGATGAGTCATGTTATGTGGTATCTTTAAATATGCAGTAGGGCACATCAGATTAAAAGACAAAGTTTTTTGTTCAGAAGGAATGGTAACTCCACTGCCAGCTGTACCTATTGATCTTGGGCAGTTCTAACTGTATGTTAGTAGTAGTGATCACAGTCTTGTGGCCTACTTAGTGCCTGAAAATAAAATAAGAAGAATAAGAAGAGATCCTGCCCTTCTGTTGCAGAGAGCTAGGAAGTTAAACTGGTATCTTTTTAAAAACAGCATTAATTGAAAACAGCTATTGTAAGTAACAGAAGCAATGTGAAAATTTCCCTTGGTGGAGTGAGAATTTATTTCCTCTGTTTTCCTTCCTACCCCCCAGTTCCCACACTGGACATTTTACCATCCTTTACAGTATTTTCCACTAGCATGGTGAAAGGGCAGGGATGCAGTCAAGGTTGAAGGTCTACAAACTGGACATTTGGTATTAATAAATGTTTATGGTGAGATGGTGCAGCTGACAATGTTACTGTTTTATTACTATTAGTAATGGATGTAAGTGAACTGAAGATAGATGGTCATGTTTGTTCCAGCTTTCTTGCTGTCCGGTTTCAGGGAGAGTTCCCCCATTGGGTGCTTAAAGTTGTACGTGTTATACATGTTCCAGTTCAAGTGCTAGAAAAATTCTTGACTCTCATTCTATCCCTTAAAGTACCCAAGTGTGTTGAAATGTGTGAAAGCCCTGTTTTCATTTGGCATAGTTCATTTATGTCAAGAAAATTATGTGCTGGTAGGAGAAATGCTTAATAAAAATGTGGACAGGATGGCAAATGCATATGATTTCATAATTATTTTAAACTCTGAACCTAAGGAAGCAAAAAAGATCACTGCTTCAAGAATTTACTTCTGGAATTCCCTGTAGGGAGGAGCATGACAGCCTTGTAGCTGTTAGAACTTAGATTACACAAGGCATTGGAAATTGTCTAAGCAGCCAAAGCTGCAGTCTTTGAGTGTTTGAATTTATTTTTTTATCGCATGCAGCTTTGGGATTAAAAAGTGTAGGAGATGTGTAACTCTTGGTAACAAACTGTAGGACTTAAGATTCTGTTTGTGTTTTGTACTAACTTCCTTGTACTGTACTCAAGGTAATCTACTGTGTTAGTATCCAGAGCTGAGATGGCACTTTTCCAAGTAAAACTTCGCTGTGGGTTCTTAAAACAAACTTCCTTGGCTGAGAGAATTCTGGTTGCTTTCATGTCTTTTGTTTTATAGGCTCCTCAGTGGCTAGAAAGTGATTCCTGTCAGAAGTGTGAACAACCGTTCTTCTGGAATATAAAGCAAATGTGGGACACAAAGACATTAGGGTTGAGACAGGTGAGATCACTCATTTGAGTGTTTAGCTGTACTTTAACACTTAAGCAAAAAGCAAACAGAAAATCACTAACACAGTTAGATCTTGGTATTTTTGGTATTTTTGCTGCTTTGAAGTGAGTGTTTATTGAGAGCTCACAGCTTCTGGGTAATGCTAAGAAATTTTCTAATTCTATGAGAAGTGTTGCATCAAACTTGTAGCACTGGTCAAAGAAGGCTGTGCTGGGAGTCCTTAATTGGGTTTCTCTGAATTATTCAGTTCACTGGAGCTGTGGACAGATATTAAGTGTTGTGTAAAGTAACACACAGTTCCCCATAACTGAGCAAACTGCAACCTATTATGTTGTGGAGTACCCAGTTCAGTGAAGCAGTGGTGGCCCTTCTCTTACTGGACAACAGTGTGAAACATATCCAGATAGCTTTGTATCTGGAAGGTCTAGACAGACATTGAGGCACTGTGTTTCTGGCTTTCTTGGACTTATATTTCCTTGGATGGCAGTCCGACCCTTTCTCCTCTGCTCTCATAAGATTGTGAAAGAAGAGATGAGCAGGAAAGATGCAGAGGTAAACCTACTGGTGGCAAGAAAGCCATTTAGAACTCCAGAGTGCTTGGTTTGAGCTTAAAAGAACTGAAGGCTTCCTTACATGTTGTTACTCAACAAACATTCGATAAAATGATCAAGTGGTACAATGAAATGATTTTTTGGTTTGTCTTTTGTTTTCTTCCGTGAAGCATCACTGCAGAAAATGTGGGCAAGCAGTATGTGGCAAGTGCAGTACCAAACGGTCAAGTTACCCAATCATGGGATTTGAGTTCCAGGTCCGTGTCTGTGATTCCTGTTTTGAGTCAATCAAGGATGAAGAGTGAGTATTAAGGAGTAATAATTCAAGTGATGCTGCTGAGGTGCTGAAACTATTGTGCTTGCTATCCATCTTCACATAGTGTTATGCAAATATGCTAAGATGACTCTCTACTAATAGGCTGCCTTTGCTTTGGGCACTCAAAGCAGTATAATGGCAGAGATTCCTCAAGTATCTTTGCAAGTGGAGTTAGACCAGATGTGGTATTAAAGCTCTTATATCCAGATTATTCTTATTCATGAGCTCAGATCTAGGGTTGAAACAAATTCATCTCTATTTCTTTGTAGATAAGGGCTATTGATTGCACTTAAAATTGCTAAATGGGTGGTTGATAATGCATCACAGATGCCAGACTGTGTATGCATCAGTTTATGTATACTTATTGAAAAGTGTTTCTTCAACAGTGTTTTCACAGCCTAACATTATTTTCCTATGCTAGCAAATTGGGTTAGACATCATTTACTGTCTCATTAGGCAGAGTTGTGAAGGAGCGCTCTTTTTATCTTGTTAAAATTTTTGAAAAGGAGATGCTGTGCCCTACCTTACTCACAGTAGTCAGCGGCTAAAAATGTAATGAGAAAGAATACTGTTTACTTAAGTTATTTCCCACTTCTGCTCTAGCATTTTTAACAGTCAGGCAGGGAAAGTCAGGAATTGTCACACCCGTATAACTAATTATACAAGCAGTGCTTTAACATGACTCAGTGATTCAATTCTGTCCCCTTTAATATGGCACTGCAGTTCTCTGGACTTAAAGATTTTTCTTGGAAGTTCATTTTCCAGTTCTGTAATGGTGCCATTAGACTTCATCTCATGGCTCAGGTTTGTTTGAACTGTTCTGTTGCAGCCGTACTTCCCTGGCAACCTTTCATGAAGGAAAGCACAACATTTCACACATGTCCATGGACATCTCCAGAGGACTAATGGTCACTTGTGGGAGTGATCGGATTGTGAAGGTATTCAAGTCCCTCTTTCCTCCATCCATTAGAGAAATTTAGTAGAGAACTGACGTTTGTATTTACATTTTTCTTTCCAATGACTGTTGCTATAAAGCTAACTGTTCTGTGTAGCAAGAATCAGATTTGCTGCAGGCTGTCCTTTGTGCAACCGAACAAGGAAATTATAAGTCCACTGTATAGAGTCTAGCTGTCAGAAATGGTTAACACTGGTGTCTTCTGGACAACAAAGCAGGTGTCAGCAGTAGCAGAATCTGCTAGTGGTCTTAAAGATGTAGACGTGATAAAAAGTGCAAGCTCTGAGCTTCCTGGCTTCTTTCTTGGAGCGTTGCCACTAAAAGCCCTGTTTATGAAACAGTGACTTGGAAATCAGACTGATGTAGAATCTTGTTATGTTTAAATTATGCATCCCCCATGCTAGCCAGAACCCAAGACTCTTCCAGGTTGTCCCTGTTGTTTTCTAAGTATGTTTATATCAAACTGCATAGCGCAGTTTTTTTAGACCAGACCTCCAGAGAACTGCTAGAAGATAGATTTTTCTGAGACTGAAGTTTGGCAGTTGGTTTGTAAGGGTGGTATACCTCCTTGTCCTCCTCAAATCCAATTTAAACAGGATTTACTGTCTCATGTCCAGAGAAGTCTTTGTCTGCTTCTGTGCCTGTTAGAGAAATATCTTTTAGGTCTTATTGTTGCTATATAATTCTCCACGTTATTTTCTTCTAGATCTGGGACATGACGCCAGTAGTTGGTTGCAGCCTTGCAACTGGCTTCTCTTCACGTTGATCTAATACCTGACAGGTTTATGCACCTTATGTACAGCAATATGCATCCAATGAGTGGAATCCTTCTTAAGAATATTACCGCAAACACTGGTTGCTTGATTCTTCTCCTGCTGCTGTTCCAGGACGGACAGTCACCTCTATAGAGCACAGCTTTTCTGTTGGGCTCACCAGGAAATCTCCTTGGTGCGGAAGTGCAGTTTCACAACCTCTTGGACTAATGTAAAATGGCTTACCTGCAATATGACACCTTGATGAAAGGACCTGTTGTTACTTGATTTATATGTAGTGTTAACAATGTGCTATCTCTGCTGATATATCTTGTACAGATACTTTGTAGCTTAAACTTATCAGAGTAAAATGAGTATAGTACATTCAGTTTGTTCAAGTAGTAAAATAACTTATTCTCTCTTCCAAAAAGCAATTCTGTATAAATACTTTTGAGCAGTCACTGTTTATACTGCCTCCAAAAGGTATGTTGGTTATTCCTATGGAAGGAGGAAATACTTCAAAGTGGCAGGTAGCTTCTTTCAGATGAGATAGTAAGAGAACCTTTGAGCATACAAGATTTCCTTTGTTGACTTCCTTGTAGTGTTTGTCTTCAAATTCAGTCACCAGTGAAATCACTTCTGTGGGACAGCTGTTTAGGTAGTTGGTAATTCTTCAAACACTTCTAGGTTCTTAAGTAGAGTTTTAGCATAGCTAACAAACTTCTGTAGGTCTTACTAAAATGTGCAGCCCAGCTACTCTACTTTAAAGACAGGCCACTGGGATGAGCCGTATGCTTTGACAATTCTGTAATGCTGTTAGAATGGGAAGCTAAGTAAATCTGCCTTGTTAAATGTTATGGCTAAGAAAAAATGGCCAGCTAAGTCTTAGAGACTTTTTCCTGTGGAAAGGCTGATTTTTCTTTAATGGTAGGTAGCCTGTCTCTGCTAAAATGCAGCATACATTTAAATACTGCCTTGGTGTTGCCTAAAACTGATAAATACTGAGACTTTCCAAAGCAGTAGGTACTGAGATACAGAACGGCTGCTGTTTTTTGCCCTGCACCCGAGTCTGTTAATTCTAAGATCTGTATCGATCGTTCCTGATGTTAAAGCTGAGAAGTATGAAGAGGAACTGGGAGGCTTTAAAAACTGTATTTGGCATATACAGGAAGTAACTGAGATTAGTAATAAATTGGTCTGTCAATAGTATTAATTTCCTACTTCTGAGTACTGAAAAGAGAACTTTAGAAGCTTGGATCACATATCAGAGTTCAAAGATTAGAGCTGTTTAGATTTCTCTGAAAATAGGTGCATATTTGTGAAGACAAAATGTGGGTAGGTCAGCTGGCCCAGAGTAGATGGCGTTGTACAGCTGTCAAAAGAAGCTGGCAATTTTTGGCAGAGGACTAGAAGGTTAGATTGACTTTAATGCAGCAATGATCAAGTGGTGCTATGAGTGTTAGTGAACTCAAGTCCTGGTTGTCTAACTTGATGCTAATAATCTGCATCGGACCATGCTATAGGCTAAAGTATATGAAGATCATGGTGTAAGTAATAAACCATGATTCTCTTCTGTTTTAAGCCTGAAATGCTGATAGTCTTCAAAAGGGCATTAAAATCCAGAATATGGTAGTTACTGTTATCTTGGATCTGGCTTTGTCTACCTTTCCCTGGCCCTTCTCCAGAAGTTTTGCTAGCAGTCATTTAATTTGCCAGGTGTGTTAAGCCAATGAAAAATAAACAATTCTGTCTTTTGTGTCAATCCCCAAAATTATCTTGCCTTCAATTTAGGATTTAGCACTTGTCAAACTGATCTAATTCATCCCTTGATACATGCTGTATAGCTTACATTTTTTGGTAAAGGTTTATTTCTTCTTATTGAGAGTAAATTGGCTTGTACTAGAAAAAATTACAGCTTTCTGCTATGAAGGCCTTCACCCTTGTAACTCAGGAAGAAAGCTGAGTGTTTGAAGGGAGTAAGTAAGCCCCAGTAACACTCTGCATTCACTTTCAGACTTCTTCCTATCTGATTTTGGAAGAGAATGGCAGTCTTCTTCCTTACAGGGTGTAAGGCAGAACATTGATTAATGGATAGAGTTGTTTAAGATTCTACCGTGCTGTGGTAAGGAGGATCTAGGGTTGTGTGCTAAGCTGGAAGCTTAGTGTAGATGTGGGATGAATAGGGTTTTTTTTGTTTTCTTTTTAAACCAAGCATTCTGAAACTCTTACACCAATTATACTGAAGTGTAATAACTCCTTTGCAGCCAATACTCCTGAGCTTCAGCTTTTTTTAGTTCTGATTAGTCAACATTTCCCAAATCAGCATGCAGCTCCCTCCTCTTTTTTGTGAATACTTCCACTTCTTGACAACCACTTATCTTACATTAAGGTTTTGACACTAGATAATATATTCTCTACTACTTATTCTTAAACCTAAGGAATCTATTTTCTATAATTGATATACTTAAATATAGTGTCAGTTCAGATATAGCAAGACAATTATGGCTGCTAAGTCATTAGTCATTTAAATATACTCTTGGTGTTAAACAAATAATGCTTACAAACCACTAAAGAGATGGTGTTTTGGTTTATAAACAAATCTTTTGAATACACATACTCTCTCATGAAACTGAACATACTTCCAACTATGTCAGCTCAAGTGTGCAATTACTGAAAAAGCTTGATTTGAAGCTTTACTAATATTGCTTGTATAACCTCTTTCATTGGGGGCAGGGAAGGGGAGCAAAGGATATTAGTATGTGCTCAGTCTTTACTAGTTGTATTTCTGTACTCTGCATATTTAAGCAATGCTAGATAAATCCGTCCCTTGCTCCTTCTTGTCTGTTTTTTAAAACTTTGATTACATGTACAATAAAATATTTCTTGATATTCACGTAGTCTATTTGGATGATCCATCTTTTCTTTCATTGTATGAATGAACAACACCCATTCTACACTGTTTGCTTCATACAGCCCACATTCAAATTCTGGGTTGGAGGGATGGCTTGTCAGATGTGCTGCACTGGAGCTGAATGAGCCACAATCAGTAAGCCTAGAGACAAACAGCTGCTGAATGGTCATGTACATTCTATCTTGTGTCCTTGCCAGCTTGTACAGACCTTTACTCTGGTTCATCTCATTCTTCAGATGTATGCAAAGGTTATTACAACACAGTACTAGAGGATCAACCCATTTCCTGGGGTCCCTTGGACCTGCCTGAGGTGTTAATAGAAATTCCAATTTATGTTAGATGGAGAAGTAGTCTCTACTTAAACTTAGATGGTTTAAGTAGAGTCTACAACGTGATAGATACAGAGGACACCAACTACAGACGATCTGGTTATGGTTGTTTCAAGATAGTTCTTCACAGAAGAAGGATGTGGACAAGCAGGGAAGCATCTTTATGTCTCACAGTTGTTCACAGCCTCGAATATGTCACTGGTTGCTTTGTAACACAGTGCCTTAATGTTGGCGTGTATGATGTAGCTCAGTGCTCCCCAGAATATATGAAAGCAAGAGAAGGAATCTGAAAGCGTTTGACAAGCTCTTTCCACCTCTAAAAAGTACTTGAATGGCTTATGTGGAATAATACTGTATAAGATGTCTCATTTTGACTTACCCTGTTCTCTAGCTGCAACAAAAACTTGACCAGAAACAAGCAATCCATTACTGATCTCTAGTCAAGAAAGCTTGTTTGTAGATCTCTGTGGACTGTTGCATAATAGGTTGTAAATAATACATCTGAACTCTAGGTTGGTTGAGTATTAAACTATTTGAGAACGGCAAATGAGGTCTTTGTAGTGAAAATGATAAAATACATGTATTGGTTTTGCAAGTGAGAATGCTAAATACTTTCCACAGTCTTTATGTGATTTGCAACAATATAAGCTTTGGACATGCTGTGTGGCAAGCCTAGCAATGACATTTTTTGATGGTGTTCACTTTACACAATGGACAGATTGCATAATAAGCTGGGTTTGGGAAGGATGTGATATTTTTTCTTTTAACATTGATCAGATTAATGTCTGTGTACTAGAATGAAGGCTCTGTAAGGCTTTTTAGTTTGAATAGACTTGAAGTCCCAAGTTCTGAATGACTTGGCAACAGTGAAATCCCGCAATCACACTCATATGAAAATGATGAACTTCTGCCAGCTTAGTTTATTTAAATATTATCATTGATCATCAACTACTTTCAATGGGTTGAAACTTGCTTTTTGAAGCTTTACCTGTTCCTTGTACAATTACCCAAAGCAGCAACCCATCTAAGTGATCTCTTAAGTAACTGGAACCAAATGATCCTGCATTTTTTGCCCCTTTGGAGAAAGTAAAGCTGTAGTCTCTAGGTAGCTGTGTGGGCTACTCAGCTATCAATATGCAAAAGCTGATAGTTGAACAAATTCAGAGATGGTGTTAATGGTTTTATAATTTATGCCATTGAAGAAAATATTAACATAATACCAGTAATAAAGTAAACATATGTATTTTCATAATTTAATCAAATAACAAATATATGAAGTCATTAGAACCTTTGCTTTTTGGCACAGAGTTTGGAACTTGATCATACTTGAGGTCCCTTCCAACCCAAGCCATTCTATGATTTTGCTTACCTAGCAGGAGGTTTTTTATCCCTTAGTGTCGCTAGGGTTGCCAGACTGATTGATGTCCAGCATACTTGTGTACTCAGGCTGCAGTAAGATCTCTTACTGATTTTGCTCTATAACTGCACGTGCACAGAGAAGACAGATCAGATTTTGTGATTTACACTTTATATGATTGTACTAACTTGGGTGAGATTGTCTGGCTTGTCTGCAGAATATTTAATATGTTCGTCTTTGAGTTGCTATTTGTCACACAGATACTATGGGTTACCTTACATCTACTCAAATAACTGAATTATTTAGTCCTGTTAATTTTGTTTAGAGAGATCCTGGTGTGCTAAGAATCATATTTTGTGTAAGACATCCAGAGGCTTAGGATCTCTTAGCACTTACCCAGTCCAAAACCGGTTGAATTTATGTAGAAATACAAGTTAATTCTGGAATTTTTCATCTGTGTTTTTAATGCCATTTTTCCCTTCTTACTCTGAAATGCTTTATGGCAAATGTTATGGAGTTGTACTCTTTCCTTTCCTTTACCCTGTTCATAGGGAAAGATACAGAATAGGGTTAAAACTTCTCCTAACTTTGCTTTCATGGCTGCTTTTCAAGTAAAAATAGCTCCACGATCCCCACATATCTATACTGCTCTTTCTTTTCTGAAGCCTGTTCTTCTTATGCTTTTGTCTAGCCTTAAGATCTATGTGTATGTATCTGTCAAAGGACTTTAAAATATTCATGAACTGAAGTGCATCTTCTGATCAGGAGTGGGCACTGTTTGCCAGGGTTCCTTGACATACTGCTGCTAAGCTATACCTATTTTTCTATTCTAGTCACTGTCTTTTGTCTTTTCTCTGTTCTCATTACATTTCTCCTTCTTTCTCTCTTAGTTTGTGGCTGCTTCTCCAGGTTTCTTCTGCAGCAGCATGTATCTGTTGGATTTTGGCTCCTTAAGATGAATGATGTGAGCACTGAAAGCATGACCAAACTGCTTGCCTGAGCCTTCTGATCTGTAAGAGAGAGCTGGTCTTGCAGTGGCTGAATTAAGGCAGCAGATGTGAAAGGTGAGCGTCTTTAGGAATTGACCTGTTACCTTATCCTCATTTATAAGATCCCAACTCATTTGGCACTCACAGCAATGCAGTCATTTATCATTGCTCTTCTGTTTGCAACAGCTCTTGCAGGTTGGAAAAAGTATTGTAAAAAATATTACCTCTCATACCTCTGACAGTGTGGTGTCTGTCCCAGCTGTCTGGGACACTTTGTTTTTCAGTGCTGATGATCAGTAGGGAAGAACTGAGGTCCATAGGATGATCCATAGTACTTACTGGGTTTGGAGAATGTCAGGATGTTTTCTGTAAGGACAGAGAAATGAATGTTGGGATGTTTTCTGTTAAGGGTAGAAGAAATATTGCACATCTGATTGGTATTTGTGGGATGTTCAGTTTAAAACTTAATCTCTTAAACGTAATCTAAAATAAGGAAACGCAGCTGTTAAACTGTGTTCATTGTGGCCCTTTTGTGGAAGAGAAATGCTGGGGATATAAATATGCTTATAGGCAGTGAAGGATGTTTTAATCTTACTGCTACTCCAGAACAGTGGTTCTCTTGTTTTGCTGTGCGAGAATATCAGCTGAGCACTGCTGTTGTAGAGCATGGCACGGCTGTACCTACATTTTACAATTGGAGTGGAAAGAGAAAAACACGAGAGAAACTGAAGGGAGTTGGAAAGGGCAAAAAATCAAATAGCAGCATGGCTAGAGCATGCAAAGGCATTCAAACCTTCCAGTTAAAGGGATGTAAGGAAGGAGACTGTAAACAGTATAACTCAACTGAATACAACAGGGCTACAATAACACTTTTTCTTCATAGCAGTAGAATTCTGTATAGAGCTTTATTAATGCCTGCCTACCTTACGGCCTGCTCTCAGTTTTACACATCTGGGAAATGGACTAAAATACTACTTGGTACTCTGTAAGTTCTTGTGTACCCCTATAACTTCACTGCAGGCTGTAACAAGTTGAGACTGCTATTTTTAACACTTTACTAGTACCTTAAACTCCTTAAATGGCAGAACTACATACTGAACATATTATTTCTACTGATAAGGTGCCAAAATCTATGGCACAGATAAATGATTCTATATGTTCTTTAAGGATATTAGTGCTTTTTCTGATGTTAAATTGTGGAAAATGAAGATCTTGTGAGCAAATGAGGAAAAGGGCACATATGAAAAGTAGGAGAGAATTTTCTGGAAAAGTACAAACCCCTGCTTAGAAACACAAGGAAGTGTTAAATTGCTTCTTTATTGATCCAAAGTGCAATTAAAAGCTGCCTCCTGCAGCTGAATTTAGATTGGCTTTTAAATTGTTTCTTTCCTCTATGGATCTAGTATCAAGTGGAAAAAACCTACACAGCGGGACTCCTGAAAAGTCACCACGGAGCGTTCATCAGTCTGAACCTCTTGGTTCACAAAGTGCTGCTTTACCTGAAGTAGTTTGTGGCTCTGTTTGCCTGCCAGAAGCTCAGTTTAGGTGTTGAAGAATTGAGGCTGTGGAGTGCGGTGGCTAGAATCATGTCAAAGGTTAGTGTTCTGCTTCACTGGCTGTGGTACTCCATGTCAGCAAAAAGGCTTCTCCCTGCCATGAAATGGTGTTTTGTTTTCAGGACTTTTGCAGGATTTTAGGAGGAAATTAGAAGTTGTATATTGTTCCCTTCCTAATACAAAGCGTGCTGTAGGTCCAGGACTTCATCAGTTCAGAACATCCGACTTTTTTAGCAGTTACTTATTTTCAAATAAATAACATTGAAACTCACCAAAAGTTACACTTGGGAGCTAGAAAATGCCTCATCAGCAGTTCTCCGGGCACAAGCCTCGTTGTAGCCACTGTAACCTGATCTGAAGATTTTCTGCTTCTGAATGTGATAGGCTGCTCGAAGAGTGGAATGCGGGCTAGGAGAATGCAACACCCAGCGGCAATCAAAAAAACAGCACTGTCTGCCTTCCTTAAAAGCCTCGTCAAAGGGCCTTAAGAAAGGAACATGAGCATTTTTTTCCAGGCAGACAGAAGCTGAAAGAGAAAAGCCTCAGAGTCTTTTGCAGCCTATTTTGAGTTAGAGGAATACATTTGCATTTCTTTGCACGCTTTTATGTTCAAATGAATTCACTGGGCCTAAGGGAAGAACCCTGAGGAGTCTGCGGTATGCATTTGTTTGGCTTGTGGTCACTCCACCGGTGCAGCTGGCACAGCCCTGTGCCTCAGCTGCTTCCCCCACTTCCACTGCTGTGCAGCACTGATCATCGTCAGTAGTTGCTACTTTGGAAGTTTGAGCTATCTTTCTTATCAAAACATTACACAAGCACACTGTGCTAGTGGTGGGGAAGCAAGAGGGAGGGGAAGAATTACGACTCTCTCTTCCAGTTGGTCATTAAGTAGACACTAGGCTTTCTGCTCTGGAAAGCATCTAATTTAGGCAAGATCCTAATATGCAGCCTTATTTCTGTAGGGTAGCAAAATTCATCTCTTTGCTAACCTGTAAAATTGGCATTAACACGTTGCAACTGACCACTACAGTAACACGTCCTGTAAGCATGATGTGTTGTTGCAGCTTTTTTCTGATGTACTTGCAAAACCATGAAAGCAGCGGGTTAGATTTCTTGAGTTCATAGGCCTGTTTAGGATAGGTCTTTGCATAGGAGGGTAAGATTATTGGCAAAACGCTAAGCAAAAAAAAAAAAAATACTGTCCATCACTGGATTAAACAACATAACTAGGTGAGAGGTAGGCTGCAGAAGAGAGTTGGTTTTTTAAACTTTTTTTTTTTGGGGGGGGGGGGGGGGGGGAGGGATGAGCAGGGAAGAAATGTTCAACCCTTAATTTCTAATTCATTTTGGAGATGAAAGTGTTGATACTTGCAGATCCAGCACAACTGCACTGTGGTATTATATTCTTGCATGTTAGGTAAAGCCAGCTGCAAGTGCATGTTCCTGGCATAGCAGCTGGTTTTTGGAGATTTAGGAATTCTACAGTGGTGCCTATAGACATTCTCGATCAGCAGCACTGAGGAACATCTGGCTTCTGACTGCAGAGCTCTCTGCTGTTCTGCACATGCCAAAGCAGGGAGGGCTGGTGGCTTAATGGGAAGAAGCATGATTCTGTGGTTGTGGGGAACCTAAATGTTGACCTCCTAGGGAAGGCACTATGCCTGCCTGTCAGCATGGCAGTTTCTGTAGCCTACTGACTCATCCCAGCTACCTTCAGAGACTCTAGGAACAGGTTTTGGTCTACTTTGTCAGATGCTGATAATAACAAGTGTTTATTTGGCAGGCCCACTGATAGCAGGAGAGTGCCCCAGCAAAATCAGTGTGTCTGGTGCTGTGTGGCACCACGGCTGTGGTGTGAAAGGAGATGTGGTCTGTTGATATAGAGCTGAGTTATAGGCCCAGAGTGTGTTCTCACAAAGTTAGAGAGGCCAGAGGCAAGCAAATGAAACACTGGTGAGGTCTGCAGAGAGCTGGGACTTGTGCTTCTTGTGTTGTGCACTACAGAAACAAAACCAGAGCACTCATCAGCCTGCAGCAACTGAGGGCAGTGCTCACCCCTATATATAAAGAGAAACAAGAAATGAACAAACAGAAACAGAGGTTTTAATGAATGTTTCCAGGTCAGATCATAGGTTACAGAGGGCAGGGGTCATGCATGCTGAGGGAAGTATGGAAACCACAACTCTACATGAGCATAAGGACCACATCCCTGCATATCCCAGTGTGTATTCTTTACAGTTAAGAGGATACAGTTGAATGAGAGATTTAGGCATAGGCTGACACATAGGTGCATGCCTAGAAACTTGTCACAGTGATAACATTTTCTCTCTGTAAAATCTTATTTTGTTGTTTTTTGGCATCCCCTCCTAGCTCAGCCTGTGTTAGTTATAAGGCTTCATTCTTCCTGCATTTCTCTTTAAACAGCATCAATTCTTCCATTTTTGCAGGGAGAAAACTAGGAATGTTTCTGACACTTAGGCAGCCTCCCTTCTCCCTCTGTTCTTGCAAATATTTCCAACCATGAACAGTCTTCACCCCATTGTTGTCTCCACTGTGGAGTCACAATTGCTTTTGTCCAAGGGATGTTCCCCCTTTGCTGAAGCCAGAGGCTTAGAAAGGGATTCCCCAGTGGCAGCCATTGGAATCCTTCAGATTTCTCTATTTTGCTGATGACTTAACAGGTCCAGCACTGTGTGCAGGAGAGGGCAGGGCTCTCCCTGTATTGCTGAGAACTGTATCCCGAATCCAGAGCTGTGTGTGCAGCTAGATGCACACTATGCTTGGGGAAACATCTCTCCTGACTGCATATGTGGGAGTTCAACACCCTAACTTCCCATTTTCTGTCGTTGTGGTATCTTGTCCATGGATCAGTCTCTGAGTAAGAGCTTCAGCAGCCTCAGGCCCGAATTTAGAGCTTCTGATGGAACGCCGAGTCTGTGGAAGTTGCATATTCTTTTGGCATCTGCTATTTATCAGCAAATCCCTGCCAGAGGTTACAGGGCTTTGCTGCTCAGCTGGCAGAGCTGTTCGCATCCCACTCTCTCATCCAGCTCAGGCTCGAAGCGCGGCGTAGCAAAGCCCAGACACGTAAGGTACTCAAACAGGAGCTAGGCACGCTCCGGTCCCCGCATCGCAGCGCTGGAGGCCGGGCCCGACAGCTGCCTTCTGCGGGCCGCACCCCGGCCCAGCCGGGCAGAACCGTCCCGTCCGCGGGCTCCCCGCCGGGCTCGGCGCCCGGGGCGGCGGCAGGTGCGGGAGGAGTTTCCTTTCGGGGCATTGTGGGAAGGCGCGATGCGGCCGGGGCCTCACCTGGCGCGCCGCGGGCAGGCAGGGCGGGAGGCAGCCGGCAGCCAGCCGGGCCGGGCCGGGCCGGCTTCAGCCCGCCGCCGCGGCACCATGGTAAGTGCACGGCCTGCCCGCCTCCGCCCGCTGCTGCGGCACGGGGAGGTCGGGAAGGTCGGCGTCCGGCTGCGCCGTCCCGGAGCGCTGGGCAGCGGGCAGGGAGCGGAGCGCAGACCTCGGTCTCGGAGCAAAGCAATTGGGGTTGTGAGTGAGTATCCCTGCAGGAATGAATGGCCCCAGGTGCCTTTAAGCGGAGGTAACGTGTGTTTGTTAGCAGGTAGGTGGAGGGCTGTCCCAGCTCTTCCGAGGAGCGGGAATGCAGCTTCCAGGAGAGCCTGGGCAAGGACTGCACCTGTGCTGGGACGCGAGCGTTGCGTTTCTCCTTCTGTTTCCTCCCTTCTGCCGGCGGGGTGAGCCTGGGTCACACGCACGGCCTTTCGTAGCCAAGCAGGAAAATGGGGCTGCTCCGCAGAGACCTGATTAAGTCTACCAGTAACACGAGGAGCTGAGGCTCGAGTCAGCTCGGTGCCTGCAGGAATGTCGGGTTTGGTTTCACGTGGGTCCTGGTGGAGCCCGAGCAGCGGCTTTCCGGGGCAGCACGTGTGGAAGGGCCCTTTCCCTGGGTTGGCTGCATCCCCTGTAGGAGCTGACTGAGCCGTGGTGCTGTCGTGTGCCAAGCGTGGCTGAAGTTGTTTCGTCAGGCTCAGAAATGATCACGGTGCCAGTGCGTGCAGTTAGGTGAGCCCTGGTTTGGTGGGCTCTGAGATGAACTACAGCCACTCAGGTAGGGGGCAATTCGCAGCAAAGCGACGAGGTGTAACATGTCTGTTTAACAGGGAGCACATGAGCCTGGTTCTGCTCCTTGCTGCGTGCCGGCAGCCATGGCATTGCGGCATGGTCAGGTAGTGGTGGCTGCTCGGGGTGGGCAGCCTTTGGGTTATGGGCATCCTGCTAGGGCAGCCGCTTGGGCGTTCAGGCTGCTCGCAGAGGCTCCGGTGGTTGTTTGCTGGGATCGGGAGAGGTTGCTTGGTTATTATTCTCTTTTGTTAAGCACAGTGGCCAGCATCCCTGGATTACATCCCTGGAATAATGGCTGGACTTTCCCCAAGAAGACTGTGGGCTGTCGAGCAATAAGATGGTCAGCAATGCCATGCAATTGAGAAACCATCTCGCAGTGATTATCAGAGCTGGGGCAGGTTCTGCGATCATGCCCAGAGCTCCTGTTGTGTGCATCTGTGCTCTCAGTGACGGCAGTGCAGCTGCACCGAGTCGCAGCACTTTCATCACGGGCTGAATTTTGACGTGTGGCTCTATCCTCAGAAGTGGAGCTGAATTGTTTTATTTCCAATGGTTTAGCAGAATGCACCCCCTCGTGTGTTAGTCTAATTTTGTGTCTTCGGAAAGATGTGCCTGCCGTTCAGATTTGCATGTAAAATCTGTGCAGTAATGAGTTTACAGATGGCAATGCAGTCTCCATACCTCAAGTCCCAGTATACATACATACATACATATATGCAACCTTTCCAGTTACCTCTTGACACAGCTCTCCATATCCATTTCCTGATGTAACGCTTATGTAAATAACCGGAGTTCATACTGTGCCCTTGAAGGTCAGTAAATATGGGAGGTGATTTCGGGAAAGCTGATCTCAGATCTCTCCGTGGTGCGTGCACTAAACAAATGCTAGTTCTCAAAGCACTCACGATGGTCCCAAGGGAGTGGTGCTCACAATGGTGCTACTTATTAGCAGGATTGTCTGCTGTTTGATGACTATAATTTAGTAAAGTGAGCGTGTATTCTTATTCCTTTGCTGAGCTCATAGTGCAAACACTTGCTGGCATTGTTACACCAAGCAGTGCTGTCAGCCTTACCCTGTTCTTCTGTTGTAGATCCAGTGCCCATGAAAGGGTGCTTTTGTCGAAGTACTCGTGCTTAAAATTTCTCTGCCTGTCCTCCAGAAAGGGTTGTTGTGCTGGGTTGCTGTCAAGAATTAAGGATTATTGGGTTACAGACTAAGAATAAACCTTATTCGGGCTGACAACTGAAGAACTTTCAGCAGGTCATTTAAAAGCTCTCCTTAGATCCGTTTCTCCTGTTTAGCGTGAGGGGGTTGTGCTTGCCACCAGTGTTAAATGCTAGGAGATTGGAATGGAAGGTCGTCCTGAAAATGGGACCGTGTCTCAGCAGGAGCGTTGTTGCCATTGTTTGCTCTGCTGCAAATTTCCAGGCTGGTTTCAGGGGAGCCCTTTAGACAAGCTTCATGTCCTGCTGAGAATGGCTGTGTTACTGCCCAGCTGCTACCTTGTGACTGCAGAACAAAGGATTTTTAGAAAAAAAGACTGCATTCTGTTCTCTGACAGGGTATGGGTGCAGCAGAGAAACATGGCCAGAAGGGTTGCTGTCTCAACAGATCAGAAAGTGAAAGCCAGGACTGGACAGAGAAATTATTTCTTTCCCCAGGGACACGTGTTGCTGCAGTCTTTCATGCCTGTGAGTGTTGCAACACCACAATCCCACAGCCACCTCGCCATTATCAGTATTATCAAGTTTTCTATTTGCACAATTCTGAGTACAGAACTGGTGCCTGCAGAGTAAAATGTCCTGCTTCCCTCCTGCCTCTGCTGCTCATCAGTACAATGTGAAGCATCAGTACCTGTTGGCATGACCTGAAGCCCTGGAGAAAGATCAAAAGAAGCCCCTGTTGAGCAGAAGGCTCTGAAGACATACTTTGTGTGCTTGGGAAGGAGCTGGCAGGCGGTGTTTCCATGTAGCGAGGCATGTGATACTCATCACGGATCTAGAGGCTTGGCTGGAAATGTTGGTTGAGGTGAGTGCAGGTGGTGACACCTGCCTGGTGTTTGTAAATCTTGGCTTTTCTGAATAGTGATTTTCCCAACATTCTCAGTGCCCTTAACTGCTAAAATAAACACAGGCCTGTAAAAGATATTTTTAGTGTTGTGCAGAACTTACTGTCAATGATTTGAAGAAGAACGTGCTCTAAACCTTGCATGTTTTTCCCCCCCTCAGTGACACAGCTGTGTATCAGCCTAGCAGAGGCGATGAATCTCGCCTCCAGGAATTTAACTTGGAAGGATGTGAAGGGCAGCAGATAAAAATAGATGGGAAAAGAAGAGAAAACTACAAATAAATGAATCTTGTTGTTGGAGGCAGTGTTATACATCATGGTGTGGGGGGGAGTACGTGTCATGTTTGTCATGTAGAGAACAATATGTATGGAAGTGGGTAATAGTAATGGAGTAGCATTCGCTAGAGAAGATCCTGATAGATGGAGACTTTTCAGCTTGGAAGTAGGTACTATAGGGGAAAGAACAGGAATGTGTGAAATCATAAATGCTGTAAAGAATGCCTCCTAACAGTTGCAATTTGGAAATTTTTAGACATTAAATGTAAAGAAAAGGGAATATTTTTTTTCATGGTGAGACTTTAATCCACTGTACAGTGGGTGTGCTGGTAGTCAAGCCATGCAGTTTGTAGAAGATGGGTCCACAGGTGGGTTGTCTGGATCCAGTTTCTGGCCCTAAACATGAAACCCTGTGTTTCCTGGAGAATGAAGGGTACCAGAAGAATGATTTTATGCATGCTCTGCTTCTTATAGCCTGCTGTCCTGGGAAACGCGCAGATCAGAGCAGGGCTTGAGGGGAATCCATGATTTGATATTCAGTTACCACTTTATTATTTAGCTGGACTTGTGAATACAATTCTGTGAGATTTACTTGGAAAAAATGTTTATTAGGATTAGATTCTTCTCAGGAAATCTGTAATCTCTGGCTGTTGATGTGATTCTCTTTAGTTTTGGATAATCTCTCTCATGTACTTGCTCGTTACAGAGTATCGCTGTTCTGGACTCACTGGCTAAGCAGGAATTGTGATTCATCCTTTACAGTCTCTGGGTAGTATGCTTAGTGCATGGACCATGTGAAAATGTTTGTGCCTTTGCAGCTTTTCTGTATCTTTCCTCTAATTACTAAAGAATCTTGTGCTTTACAAACCATGCTGTAGATCTTCTGAAGGCCTTAGTTGTATGCCAGAGGGCAAAATGATGGAGGCACAGAGGAAACCAGTGGGCCAGAGAGGGCGGATAGAGCAGCTCTTGCTGCAATGCTTAGAGGATTTATGTTTCAGCATTTGGCACGTATATCAGGCATTTATGCAAGCCAGTTGTATTCTTTCCAATGATGCCTAAATTAAAATGATACTGCTGCTGTAAAAATAATTCTTTCCATATCACCCATGCATATCTACTAATTAAACTTTCTTCCCATTTGTTTCCCTGCTGCCCTATTCCAGCAGGCTGTCATCTGCCTTTGCTTGGCTGCTTTGAGTGGAGCTCTTTTGAGCGGCCAGCCTTGGGCCTTATTCTATTTGCAGACATTGCAGTATTTGTGCAGTTGTGCACAAATGGTGTTTCATTTGCAAGTAGGAATGTAAGTATGTGGAGTCTGTGGGCTAGAACTGGGAACTAAAATTTACATTTGCATGTTTGAAGGCAAGAATGATGTGTCTTTCTGGCCAGACGCGTATTCCTGGTCTAATGTGTCCTGGATTTCTGCTTCTCAATATGACAGATGTAACAACAGGTACTCTGCAGCAGTCTTTTTTCTTCCCTGACTTACTGGGTTTGTGTAAGATGTCTGTCTGCTATTTTCATTCGAGGCCTGAGAAGAAAAAAGAGGGCATTAAAAGACTGCAGCATCCAGTAAATGTGGTTGCCTTGCTGTTTGCAGGTAGATTTGCTCAGAAGCCTGCAGTTTCTGTTCACCAGCGCAGGGATTCCTGCATGGTCATCACCTTCTGCTTTGTCCCCTGAGGCAGGCAATAGACATGAGGCACAAGGAAATAAGAAATGGAATATTTTTGTTTGTTGGTAAGCTTCTGCATTTTCATGTTGTGCCTTACGTCTTGCATCATGTGTTCAGAGAGTGGTTGTCTGCTTGGAGCTCTAGAAATGCCATGGGAATTGTTGCATGACCTACAATGAAATACTCAGACCTGACAGCTCCCATGCTGAGGAGCTGGAAAGTCTCATGGAAGATTAA